CGACCAGGCCAGCAGAAGATTTCCCCGGGGTAGAGCTCGCAATTTCCATTCAGACTCCAGGTATCCCGCAATGGCAGAGCCCCCCCCTTCCCCCCCCCGTAGGCCCTTGCCCCCTGCCTTTTCCTGTGGTGGTGGTGCTGCTGCCACCTTATCGCATATACACCCCCTCATCTCCAAGCTGCAGAAGGGAAGAAAGTCTCTCCTCCCCTTCCAGTCTCTGGTAGTTCTTTTTTCAACATGCCTTGAACTAACTTGGACTGTGATTCATCCCAACTGACAACCTTTAAGCTGCAATGCTTTTCCCCACCATGTTTCCCAAAGGTCTGCCTGGAAGACGCAGGGATCCCCCAGCCCTGAACCTTTCTGCCTGCAATGCCCGCGTGGGTTCTAGTGTGGAATAAAGTTTCTGTCTAAAAATAAAAACTTTATATATATATAAAGCTGCCTTCGTCCAAGATTATTTTCCTGACTTACATGGCTCTGTCTACCTTAGAAGCTAGTAGAGGCCATCTTGATCAGTAGCAGAAAATGCTTCCGTGCTGTGGCCTGCATTCTCAGTGTATGCACTGACCCACTGCCCAAAAAGAATCTGGAGGAGCAAAAAAAACCTACGGAGACCATTTGAAACAACTTTAATCACCGGAACATCAGAGGTAGCAGAGGGGCACTGTACAAGAATGGACAGAATTTAATCCAAAGATGGGGGTGGTGGTAAAATAGGAACGCAGAGCACAGAAGGGACACAACAAAGACAGAGGCTCCAAGTGTTGAGGACACCAGACTGGTTGGGTGGAGTATTGTTGAGATCCCAGGAGGACCTTGCTTTGCCAAAAGCAGTTGGCTACCCTTGTGAAGATCTTGGGTATCTCCTGAGAGTTTACACAGCGTTTCCTTGATGCTGGGACACAAGAAAGCGCTCCTTGGTGTTTAGAATGGAAATACGCACCCCTTGCCTTGTGCATTTGAGCTTCCTTGGTGCCCTAATCATCAGGGCAACATCAAACGTTTGTCTTTCATGGCACAGTTGTACGTCGTCAGGAGAGGGTAGCCGTATCATCTTGTAAGGGGTTCACTCCATTGCTGCACAAGAGGGCGATGCTGTCTAGTTGAGGAAAAGCCAACGATTGGAACTCAACATTATCTGTGCTTGACCCCAAAATGCAGCCTGGAATGTCAAGAAGTCTGGGGTGCCCATCCCCACTGCAGGATATGGCCAGGATGGGCTGTTGTGCTGCTCCTGGAGGGAGGAGGTGGCCGCCCCACACTTGAACCTGCACAGGACGCCCTTCTGATCCTGGGCCAGGGGCCTCTGAGGGCTCCTGATGGGACCTTGACCCAAAAGGGCCTACTTGGCCATCCCTCTGCCGATCAGCCTCTCTCTCCAGCAGCTGTGCCCGGCCCAGAGGCGAGAAAGCAAGCAGGGAATGGGGGCTTGGAATCTCCTGTTGCCCCTCGCAAAAGGACCAGCTTGTGGGATCCCTGCCTGGATGCCTCTCCAAGAGTCCACGTAAAAAATTCCTAGGGGTGGCTTCTCCCCACCCGCCTCGTGGCTTTCCCCTTGAAAACGTTTGCTTCAGTCCCTCTGAGTGGCCCTAAGGGAGCTGGAGAGCTGAAGGCCACTCTTGCTGTCAACCAGGGGAAAGTTTATTTTTCTGGTTGGAACAACACCCCCCTCCCCCCCAGGAACAGGTCTGATTTTGTCTCCATGTTGGATATAATAACCCAGGTGGCCTCGGGAGTGAGATGGGTCTCTCCGAGCCCAAGTGGTCCGGAACTTGGAAGGTCTCCTCCACGGAGCCTCTCCCCTTTCTTGGCTCTGGAGAGCAGCTGTACCAAGGAAAGGCAATGGGGAGCATTGCAGGCACCTTGGCTGGCAGGATGGCCGCCTGTCCCTTGTGGAGAAGAGAAGGAAAGCCTGGCTCTGCTGCTCTACTCGAGGCTCCTCCTCCTGGGCCGGTTGCTGCTGGAGAAGAGACCTGGGCTATCTGAATGAACAAGGACTGGCCAACAGTCCGGGGAGGTTGGGAGGGGGCGGCAGAGCAGTGCTGTCCACCAGCCAGGCCCCTTCCTGGTGGTCCCGATAACAGCTGCCGCCTCCATCGCAGAGCTCCCTGGCAGGCGGGGTTTAATAGCAGCTGAGATCAGATTCTATGGTGCTTCCTTCTTAGCTGAAGTAAATGACTTGAGTTGGCAATGCAAACTCTTGATCTGTCCTGAATCAGGCAGGCCAAAGGCCCGGGGGCCTCCAGAGGGTGGGGAAGGGTGCTGTGCTCAGAGCCTGCCCCTCTAGCGCCACCCCGGCCCACGTCCCCCTCTTCTGACACAGGACACGGAACGGCTGTGGGGACACGGGGAAGGACACGAAGAACTCTGAAATAACGAATGCCTTGGAGGTTCGGTGACTGAAGGGAGAAGGCCAAGTCACGTGGGGGCCTTGCTGGCTGACTCTCCTCCAGCTCCCTGGGGGCCCTCTGGACAGGGGAGACACGTGGGCTTCTGTCCGTGGGGGAAGCTCTGCTGTCCACCAGCAGCCTGAGCCGCACTCCCTCTTCATCCCAAAGGGCCTGGCCACAGGGTTCTGGAAGCACCGGGGATCCTGTTTCACGCCCATTGCTTCCCCCTGCTTGGCTCGGCTCTCTCGAGCACCAGGGAGGTTGGTGAGCAGCCACAACAGCAGTGTGTGCCTCGCCAGCCATGCCACACCACACCCCTGGCCGGCTTCCTCTCGAGAAAAGTCTCTTCTGCTGAGGAAGGTTCACTGCTGCGACACGGGTGGGCATCGGCTCCAGGGGAGTATCCCCGAGCCTGGCGGAAGCTGGGCCAGCTGCGTTGGTGCTGTGCACTTTGCGCAAAGTGGTGGAGCGCTGGGCAAGAGTTAAGGCCATTGGAAACGATGTGTGCTTAGAGGAGAGAAAGTCCCAGAATTCAGGCTGTTTCAGTGCCCCAGAAATGGTGCCGTGTTTTTGCCCCTCGGTTCCTTTGGTATCATGGGTAGCTTGTCTTGGCTCAGCCCAGCAGCAGTCAAGGCACGTGGCTGAAGAGGAGGCGCCCCTCCTTCAGGCTTCGGCAGCTCTTGCCACAAGCCCCCCTCCAAATGAGGTTGGGAAAGCCCCCCTCGCTCGGCCCACCTTCTTCCCGCAAGAGGAGAGCAGTGCCTGCAGGAAACGGGCAGCCCAGCAGGGGGAAAGGGGGCCTGCTGGGGCCTGGAAGGAGATTGGCCAATGAAATGATGGTCAAGGAGGGAGGGGGGCTCTTGGCACACGTTTGCGAGAGTCCCGGCGGCTGCGTGGGAGGAATGACAGTGCAAGAGTGAAGGTTGGCACCTGGGTGGGGCTCCTGTCCTCCTCCCCTCCCCTTACTCCTTCTTTGGCTTTTCCACCACCAGGAAAGGGTCTGCTTGGAGCTCAGGATCACCGAGGAGCTTCTTCTCACGCCCCGGTTCAGCCTTTGTCCTCGTCCAGGAGGGGGAGCGGAGGTAGCCGGCTCTGGGGGTTGAGTGGGGATGCAGTCCTGTGCAGGAAGAGGAGAGGGAGGGGCTCCCGTTTAGCTTTCTTCCTCCATGGGCCAGAATATGGCCCAGCTCCCCATTCGGCCTGTTCTCTCCTGGGAGAATCCTCTCCCATCGTTTTGATCCCTGGAGGGTCAAGAGGGACAAGCAGAGCCAAAGGCAATGGGGGGGGGGAACCCCCAAACGCAAGCAAGCAGCCTCAGCTGCCACTTACAGCAGAGGAGGTGCTTGGCACTGAATGCCCCATCCTCAGTCAACACACACACACATACACACACAGACCTTTGGGAGGGGCCACTTACCAGCGGGGGGCTCTCGGGCTGCATTTTCCTCATCCGAATCTGCAAAGACCTCGGCCAGCTCTTGGTCAGACATGTCGGTCAGCTCCGTGAGGTCCAAGAGGTCGAAATGCACCTCGAGAGACGAAACGCTGCTCAGGGGTTCTGGGAAGAGACAGGGAGCTCAAGGCCCTCCTCTGGAGCTTCCTTTCTAGGAGCCTCATGAAGCCCCCCCCCGCCCCCTCCCCAGGGCTGGCCCTGTACTTACGCCGGCGCTCGGCCACCTGCAGCAGCCCTGAGGTGGGCATTGGGGTCCCTCCTTCCTCCTCCGCCGGAGAGCTGCGGGGCTCTTCTACCAGCCCATGCATGGAGAGCGTGATGGGGGTCTGGCCCTCCAGCTTGGGGGCTTCCTGGGCCAGCTCTGGAATGAGAAAACGGGTGTTGGGACAGAGGCGCCCGGCTGGCTGAGCCTCACAGTCGCCTCCGCCAAGAAAGGATGAAACGTCAGTCAGTTTCAGTCATGGCCCCTTGCCTGTCTAGGGGGGCCCACCTGGAGGGAGGGTTCTCCTGGGGTGGGGGAGCCTCTCCTGGCCTCATCGGGGTCTTCCTGGTAGGGGTTGCAGAGGGGCTGCCCTCCCACTCTTCTGTGGGGCGATTCCTGCCTGCTCAGCCCCAGAGTCCACCCATTTCCTGACTGCTGGCTGTGTGTGTGTGTGTCTGTGTGTGTGTGCAGCTCCCCCCACTCCCAGACAGGCGTGCCCAGAGCTGATGAGCAGCAGCTGTTGGGTACCAGGAGCCCCAGACTCGGCGCCTGCAGAGACAAAAGGCCGGCTTCTCTTGGAGCAGGTGGCAAGAGGACAAAGGCTGATCTGTCCTGGGGAGGGAGAGCCAAATGGGGCCGCAGAGCTGGCTGTGTGCCACTTATGCCTCAGTTACCCTCTGCCTCTCTGTCGGGGGGGGGGGAAGGTTCCTGCCTCCTGGAAGTGCCCTGGGAGCACTGCAGCAAGCTGGCTGCATGGTGGAGGGGGGGGGGGGCTTCTCAGCAGCTGCCTTGCTGACGATGCCTTCTTGCCCTTCAGTTTCCAGCAGTGCCTGCTCCAGTGTGCCCTGCGGGGGTGGGTGGGGGGTCTCTTTGCAAAGGGAAGAAACTTAGCCAGGGGGCCGGGGTTCTCTCCCCTCAGAGAAGGCCCTTCAGCCGTGCATTGGTCCTGCCCTGGCTGCCTTCTGGAAGGAATGCATTGCCAGCCTGGATCTCCTCAGGGACCCTCTTCCCTGGCGGAATGGCACCTGGGTCACCCTTGTGTCTGCCAGGAGGGTGGGCCAGGGGGTCCTGTTCCATGGCTGCTGCCAGTTAGCAGGGAAGGGGAGGTGCAGCAGCAAGGGGGAAGTTTAAACTCTACAAGCAGAAAATGGGTGAGAGGAGGAGGAGGATGGGATTGCCTGCACAAGTGTGTGCTCCAAGCAAAAGTTCTGACCCACAGCCTGCCCCTCTGCAGCCCCCCCCACGGCTGCTCCTTGCTCAGATGCCCCATTAGCTTGTCTGCAGAAGCCTGTCCCCAAAAGTGTCCGAATCTCTTGTTCCCCAAAAGTCCTGGGGGACCCTTGGGAGGTAGATCCATTTGAGGGCAGCAGCCCCCTGCAAGGGGAGTCGGCCACGGGGACTGGCGCCTGGCACAAGCCATAAGAGCAGAAAAGCAGCCAAGGGGCGGGGCAGCTTGGGTTTCCCCTCCTGCCCTCCTGCAGCTGAGAACAAGAACTGAATATTGGCACCCGAAGGTGCCCTGATCACAGGAGGCCGGGCTGAACACCTGCGGGAACAAATTCAGGGGGGGAGAAATTAAACATGGAACCGGAATGGAGCCACCAGCCACGGCCAAAACCTCCTTACCGGTTCTCGCCTTTTATAGCAGCATGGGAGACTCCCAGCTATTGCAACCCAAAACCTGGTTTGGCCCTAGACCCAGCTGGGGTGCTGGTGATGGATTCTCCCGATGCTGCTCCGGATTCTTGGGGAACACCCCAGCCTTATGTATGGGGAGGGAGGGAGGGAGGGAGGGGGAGCCAGGCTAAAGGGAGAAAAACAGCATTCAGCCCTCAAAGCCCTGAATTATTCATGCCCAGGTTTTTAACAGGCTGAGTGTGGGAAAATCGCAAAGGAGGCGTGAATATAACAGGATACTTCCGGCTCCCAATTGGCTGAAGCCAGCATGACCGCCGGCTTGCAAAGAGAGTTGAACTTGGAGGCATCTCCCTTTCGGAAGGGCCTCTCCATCTGGCCTTTCTGCTCGCAGGGTTGAGAGCCTGTCGTCCACTTGGCTGCTTCTGGGAAGACCCCAGAGGGTCTCAGAGGTCAGCCTGAAGCCCCTTTCAAGCAGGGCCTGCCTGCCGCTTCCCATAAGCCCTGTGTCCACCACCATGGAAAGGAGTCTTGCAAGGGCAGCCTGACGTGAGCCACAGCTGTCTGGTGGGGGCCCTTTCAGCAGGAGCCCTGAGATGTTGCTGGCCTGAGGGCCCCGCAAATGCCCTCCTTCCCCAGGGCTGCCTCTCCGCTCACCCGCCTCCAGCATTTGGCCAGACACCTTCAGGCAGGAGCATATGGCTGCCTCCCTCCCTCCCTCCCTCCCACCCACCACCACAGACTGCCATGCTGGCGTGGCTATTCCTGTCCTGCGGCAGGAGTGGTTTCATGCACAGGAAGGCTGCACCTGCAGAGGGTTGGGGCTGGGGCACCCCCAGGAATTTGGGGAATCTCCCTCTGGTAAGCCCACATCCTGCTCAGCTCTTGGGTGCTTGGGGGGGGGGGGGCAACATGGTGCCTTTGGGGAAGGAGGGAGCTGTGCTCAGGGTCCTGTGGGGCAGAGGCGGCAGCTTCAAACCTGCCACCTCCAGCAGGCCAAGCCCCCCCCCCCCCCTTTGCCACTCCCAGCACAGAGCGCTGGGTCTGCATTTCAACCAGTCCCCTAATGGGTCACAGCTCTCCACACTTGGCCGGAATGGCTCCCCTGAAGGACTGGAGTGTGGATTCCTCCTTGTGTTGTTTCCCATTCTGAATCTCTGGCGGTGGCTTTTCTCAAATTCCGCTGATCCATTCCGACCCTGGCCTGGCTCCCTTTTCCAGCCACAGCGTCTCTGCCCTGAGCAAGCAGCCAAGCCTGCAGGAAGAGCCAGCCAGGGGTCCCTCCCACCACCACGCAGGGGGCAACCCTCTGCTCAGAGGGGCCACTTCTCCCTGGGATGCCTGGAAAGAGGCGCTGAGTCCTTTGGTCTCGCTTGTTCCTTGAGGGGGATGGGAAAAGTGCAGCATGAAAAGCAGAAAGGCCAGCTGGGTGGCCTGGAGAAGCCTAGCAGCTTCGAGACAAGGGTGGGGGAGTTCATTAAGCGAGAGCTTCTCTGGTTGGAGAGCTGCCTGCCAGAAGCCCTTTCCCAGCCCTGCTTCCTTCCAACCCTCTCGGGTCCCTTTTACCTCCCACCTGCCTCCAGCAGTGTCCCCCCCCCCCCAGACGCAGAGCAGGCTGCTCCTTTCACTCGCCTGGTGGTGAGTGCTGCCTTCCCTCCTCCTCCTCCTCCCCTGGGTTCCCACCCTCCCCGCCTTGCTCTGATCCAGCAGCCGCCCTGCAGTCGAAAGGGGGCTCGGAAGAGTCGGGCGCACCGCTCTCTCCGCCGCCACTAGGACCGCTGCTGCTGACTCACGTTACAGGACCCGAGCCCAGCCTGGCTCCCGGCTGCAGGTTGGCAGAGCGAGGGAAGAGGGGGCTGGGCCGGCAGCTCCCGCTGAGGTCCAGCTCAACCCAAGCTGAATCTGCCAAACTGGCAGCCCTTCCCCACAACCATAATTGGGGCGGGGGGGAGGAAACTTGCACATTACTGATCCAATGCAGGAACTCCGGGAGCTCTTCCACCTCGTTAAGTCACCCCCTGCCCCCGCGCGGGAATTTGTAAGTTCCCAGGATGGGAAAAAGAAGCGCCCCGCCTGGATCAGGGGACCCGGACATTCAGCTCTGAAACCGAGGCTGCAACCCGCCCAAAGCTCCGGCAGCTTTGATGATTGGTAGCAGGTACCGACCCCCAAAGACACGCTTCCTTCCCCGCGCACCTTCACACGTGCTTCTTAGCCACAGGAGCCCGAGAGCATTCCAGTCACACCCCACTGCGTGCTCCAGGCATCCTCCTTGCCTGCCGTCCCTCGGGCAATTCGCTTCCCGTTTGGCTTAAAAGGGGACACGAGCTCCGCCGCGCTCCTAGCGCCTAAAGACTAAAGACCGACCGGGGGAGGGTGGGGGAGAGAGACTTATTTGCCGGAGCCCTCTGAGCTCTTAGAAGCCGCTTAGCTTTCAGCCCTCCAGCCCCACAAGGGAAGAAGTGGGAAGGGGCGCCCGAAGTTGACAGGCGGCGCCTTTCGGGGGAGAAAGCCGCTTCTGGTCCCGCTCATCGCGCCTTCCCCGGGAGCAAAAGGTCTTTTGGCCACCAAACAGGCAACACCCCTGGTGCTCGGCACATCCCTGGCCGCAGCGTCGGGCCGACCTCTGGGCCCCGCCGGGCCTCCCCATCGAGCAGCAGCTGCTGCTCCGCGCCTCCAGGAGCGCGGCGCCTTCCGCGCCGGCCGAGCCACTCACCCGGCGGGGCGGCCCCTCCTGGCGTCTCCATCCGTCCCGGCTGCACCAGATGCTCGTTGCGCCGCTGCCGCCTCCCTTCGCGCCGCCGCGACCACTGCAGCAGCAGCAGCCGCCCGAGCGCACATCGCCGGCGGGGAGGAGCGGGCCCGGCGCGGGGGAGGGCGCAAGGCGGGGAGACCGAACGCGTCCAGCCGCCGCCGCCGCCGCTGCATTAGAGCCCGGAGGACGCAGGGAGCCGTCGAGCAGCGCAGGGCAAGGGGAGGGGACGCCGGGCGGGGCGAGCCGGGGCTGGCACGAAGCCCGCCACTCAGGGGCTCCGGCGGCCTGAGCGGTCGCCTCCCTCAGCTCAGGAGGGCGAGGGCGCCTCTGAGCACAAGCGAAGCGCCGCGGCGCCGCGTATCGCCTGCCCGCATGCGGCCGGAGGAGCAACATGCTCGCCCGACCTCCGGCAGACAGCAAAACGCCCGAAGCTCAGAGCCGATTCTGGAGAGCGAGCTCGGGCGAGCCTGGCGCCCGCCGGACCCTCCGTGTGCGGACCCGCCGGGGGCTCTGCAGGGGGGACGCTGGGGGCCTTCGGGAGGCGGCCCGGAGAACCACTCCGGCCGCCTTTCCCCGGCGATCCAGCCCGGCTGGGCTGCCGGTGCCCGTGACCGATTCCAGGCTCCGGAGACAAGCGGCGCGTCCCAAAACGGCCGAGCCCGCCTGGGAGCAAGCGGGGCCCCCGAGGCCTCGCCGTTCCCGCAGCCCGATCGCTCGGGGCCCCGGGCATAGGGGGCTCCGGGGCTGCTCCAAGCTCCAATCTGGCACCGACAGTGCAGAGCAGGCGGCACTCTGTACATGGGCAGGAGCGCCCTCTTCGGGTTAAGCACGGGGGGGGGGGTGAGTTTGCTTTGCAGGCGCTTCCTCGTCGGAGCCCCCCCGCCCCGCCAGAGCGTCTGGCTGGCCCCCATCGCGCCCCTCTCCCTCCTCCCTCCCAGCCCGCGAGCGAGCGAGCGACGGAGGCCCCGCCCCGTTGCCAGGGCGGTCGTCAGGGGCGGCTGCGCGGCCCGCCCTTCTCGCGAGACTTGGGCGCCGGTTGCCTGGAGACGCGGCGGCCGAGCGTCCCTGTCCCGCGGCGTCATGGTGAGGGAGGCTCGGGCGGCGGGGCTCCTCGGGCGGGGAGTCCGGGGCTGCGCCGGGATGCCTCGGGCCGGGCGGGGGGCTGCGGCGCAGGGGGACCCACCGCGCCTCTCCTCGCCCCCCCGCAGGCGCCCAAGAAGAAGGCGGAGAAGAAGGGCGGCGGCGGCGGCGGCGGCAAGAAGGGCAAAGGCGGCAAAGGGCCGGCGGTGGTGGACGCGCTGCCCCCCGACGGCATGTCCAAGGAGCAGGTGCGGCGCCCTCCGGGGCGGGGGCGGGCGGGGTTGGGGGCTCCGGGTGGGGGGGGCGGCTGGGCTGAGCCCTCGGGGGCCTCTTGCAGCTGGAGGAGCACATGGGCCGCATCCGGGAGGAGCTGGACCGCGAGCGCGAGGAGCGCAACTACTTCCAGCTGGAGCGCGACAAGATCCACACTTTCTGGGAAATCACCCGGCGGCAGCTGGACGAGAAGAAGGCCGAGCTGCGCAACAAGGACCGGGAGATGGAGGAGGCCGAGGAGCGGCACCAGGTGGAGATCAAGGTAGGCCGCCCCTCCGCCCCCCCCTCCACACCTGCGCAGGGGGGGGCTTGTGGGGGGCCCTCCCGCCCTTCCCCTGAACGCTGCCCCGCTGCTCATCCCAGGTGTACAAGCAAAAGGTGAAGCACCTGCTCTACGAGCACCAGAACAACCTGACGGAGCTGAAGGCCGAGGGCACCGTGGCCATGAAGCTGGCGCAGAAGGACCACCGGTCCCAGGAGACGGAGCTGCGCAAAGACATGCGCACCCTGAAGGTGGAGCTGAAGGAGCAGGAGCTGGCCAACGAGATGGTGGTGAAGAACCTCCGCCTGGTGAGTCCTTGGCCGCTGAGAGGGGCTGCCCTCCCTGGCCCCCTCCAGCGCAAGCCAGCCTTGCCTCCGCAGCCGCCGGCGTTTGCCAGACCTGTCGCTCAGCAGCAGCCTTGCTGTCTTAACAGAAACAGCAAGAAGACCTGACGCATCTTCGAAATGACTTTGAGAGACAAGTGAAAGGTCGGTCCGGGGACTGGGCACAGCTCGGTACAGTCACGCTTTGTCCCGGGTCTCCAAACTCGGATGAGGAGGGTCCATCATCGCATCAGTCTGCAAATGACTGGCGTTCCATAAAGCTCCAGCGAGAGCATGGGGTGTGAGATTGTCCAGTGCCTCTGGGGGACCTTCAGGCCTAGGGAGCACCTGCCCCGTCTCCTCTGGAGCCATCAGCTAAGGCTAGGGACTTAGGCAGGCCGGAGAGTGGAGCATTCAGCCCAGCCTGCTTGGTGCTGCTTCTGCAGAGATTGAGGCCAAGTAC